GGGCCTCCTAATTATCCAGGGGTTTTCTATTCTACCAGGGGTGTCTTATTTGTGCAGGGGCCTCCTATTTGTCCGGGGGTCTCTTACTTGTCCAGGGGCCTCCTTTTTTGAAGGGCCTCCTTTTTGCTAAGGGAGCCTTCCATTTGTCCAGGGGGCCTCCTATTCGTACAGAGGACCTCTAGCTCCTACTTGTCCATGGGGCCTCCTATTTGTTCAAGAGGCCCCCTATTTGTACAGGGGGCCTCCTATTTGTTCAGGGGGCCTCCTATTTGTCCAAGGGGCCTGTTATTTTTCTAGGGGCCTCCTATTTGCCCAAGAGGTCTCCTATTTGTCCAGCGGGCCTCCGACTTATTCAGGGGGCCTCCTATTTTTCCAGGTGACCTCCTATTGGTTAAAGTAGCCTCCTATTTTCCAAGCGGCCTCCTATTTATCCAGAGGTCTCCTATTTTAGGGGGCCTCCTCTTTATCCATGGGGCCTCCTATTTATCCAGGGTCCTTCTATGTATAAAGGGGGCCTCCTATTTGTCCAGGGGGTCTCCTAATTGTCCAAGGGGTCTCCTTTTGTGAAAGGGGGCCTCCTATTTGTCCAGGGGGCTCCTAATTGTCCAGAGGGCCTCCTTTTGTGAAAGGGGCCTCCTGTTTGTCTAGTTCTAGGGCCTCCTGTTTGTTCATAGGGCCTCCTATTTTTCCAGGGGGCCTCCTAGTTGCAGAGGGCCTCCTACTTGCCCATGGGGCCTCCTATTTGTTCAGGGGGCTTTTTATTTGTACAGAGGGCCTCCTATTTGTCTAGGGCCTCCTATTTGTTCAGGAGGCCTCCTGCTTGTCCAGAGAGCCTCCCTATTTCTCCAGGGGGCCTCCTATTTATCCAGGGGGCCTCCTGTTTTCCGGGGGGCCTCCTACTTGTTCAGGGGGCCTCCTATTTGTCCAGAGGGCCTCCCATTTGTCCAGCGGGGCCTCCGATTTGTCCAAAGGACCTCCTTTTTATACAGAGAACCTTCTATATGAACATCGGACCTCCATTTGTAAAGTAGCTGGTGCGTCTCAGGGGCCTCCACTATTGGGGTCCCAAAATGACAATTGGGGTCCCAAATGTTCGCATTGGGGTCCCACATGGGACCTCAAAAGTATACAAAGTTACACCCATGCTTGGGTCAGCGCACGCTGCCCCGACTCGGCTATCTCACGTTACCGGGGCCCTGGCTTTGGGCACGGTCTACCGCACCACCTAACAGGCGTGTTCGAAACCGCAGGAGATGATGATGAACGGGTTTATCGAAACTTGATTGGATGAGCATATCGGTAATAGCGATTTCAGTGTGTGCATTTATTGTTCATAGTGGTGTGAAATGTGGTTGGGGTACGACCGACAACCCGTCGGGGCGAATTTCGCACTGGGGTACTCAGAATTTGAAGAATTTAAGACGTTCCAGTGGCGCAGCCAGGGGGGGGTCAGAGGGTCAGCTGACCCCCCCGAAATTTCTGTCAGGGGCCCGCTCGAGAGAGAGAGAGAGAGAGAGAGAGAGAGAGAGAGAGCCCTGGGTGGATGGGGCCCGCCCACCCCCCCCCCCCCGTGGATGGAGCCGGGCCCCGGGTGGACGGGGCCCGGACCCCCGGTTGGATGGGGCCCGGGCCCCCGGGAGAACGGGCCCGGACCCCCTGGGTGGATGGGGCCCGGGCCCCCGTGGATGGGGCCGAGCCCCCGGGAGAACGGGCCCCGGGTGGACGGGGCCCGGACCCCCGGTTGGATGGGGCCCGGGCCCCGGGAGAACGGGCCCGGGCCTCCCGGAGAACGGGCCCGGGCCCCGGGAGAACTGGCCTGGGCCCCTCGGAGAACGGGCCCTGGTCCCCCGTGGATGGGTCCGGGGCCCCGGGTGGACGGGGCCCGGACTCACGGTTGGATGGGGCCCGGGCCCCCGGGAGAACGGGCCCGGGCCCCTGGGTGGATGGGGCCCGGGCCCCCCGTGGATGGGGCCGGGCCCCCGGGAGAACTGGCTCGGGCCCCTGGGAGAACGGGCCCGGATCCCCTGGGTGGATGGGTCCGGGCCCCCAGGAGAACGGGCCCGGGCCTCCCGGAGAACGGGCCCGGGCCCCCGGGAGAACGGGGCCCGGGCCCCCGGATTGATGGGACCCGGGCCCCCTGGTGGACGGGGCCCGGAGCCCCGGGTGAACGGGGCCCGGAGCCCCAGGTGGACGTGGCCCGGGCCCCCGTGTGGATAGGGCCCGCGCCCCCGTGTGGATAGGGCCCGGGCCCCCGGCTGAATGGGGCCCGCTAGGGTGACCCGCTTGCTCCGCAACGTGTCGCGAATAAGGGGTATTTTCGATCGGTGGGCGTTTGGTTGGTCTTGTGTCCGTGGGTCATGTATCCATTTCGGTCGATTGCTTTTTGGCGGCTAAGCATTTTGGTTTGGGAAAAATATCCATCGCATCGAGGTGCTCGTGTTGCCGGGACCTCGATAGCAGACAGAATCTACGTCACCACATCACCACACCACAACAAACCCGGCCCAAGGCAATACATGCCCCATATGAGCGCGTTATCCCTCGCCGGCACAGGCCATTCCAGCCATTTTGCGTCCTTCGACGGCACAAAGGGAGAGTGGTACGACCCCCCCCCCCCCAGCGTTTGGCCCATGATTGAGCTAGAGCTTCGCGGAAAAAACGAACGTGTTGCCCGTGACGAGAGTAAGCCGATGATATTCAATTTTAAGGTTCTTGGTCATTGGTTGACCTTCCAGGTCAGGTCAACGACCCAAAAATCGGGAAAATCGGGACCTGTTAGAACGTTGTTAAGTGGCTGCTGTAGGGTTTTTGGGGTGCTGATCACGAATAGTTATCATGTTAGTTTTGATCACAGATGATGTCTTTATGCATTTAGGTCAGGTCGGGTCAGGTCAGGTCAGGTCAACCAGTAGGGGTCCTGCCGGGTATTTGTAGTACCTACGTGTCAGCCGCCTCTAGCAGCTTCGTAACATGTTACGAAGGCACCAAAACTACTTTGTGAATGTTCAAATGGTTGCTAAATTCGGATTCAGCTCCAAAAACTAGCCTAGAAACATGTAAAATTCGAAAAAGTACCGAGGTCATCATATGTCAATGACCTGACCTGACCTTCAGGTAACCTTGACACCCACCCTAATGCATGGGAGCAGCATCAACTCACATGTTTGAACGCTTGAAACCACGAAAAGACTGCAAGCGCGCGGCTAATGCGAGCCGGCATACGCCGAATCGCGATTCTGCCCAAACATGGTCTCGGAAAGTAGGTCACAGGTCAAAGGTCATTTGAGTCAGGGTCATGCAATTTCTATAGGGTAGGTGTAAAACTGATCAACTGAAGGTACTGAAAGGTACTGAAAGTGTTGTCGCGATCGGCCACTTTTTACGCGAGTTATTCGCGAAAACCCTTAGGGGGTTGCATCATCCCCTCCCCCTGCGCCGGCGAGGGTTAAAACTTCTTGTGAGCGAATTCACGTAATGAAGAAGGATAAAGGCACAATCTCCTACAGCAGCCAATAGATGATTTAGGACAGGCACATGGGAATACTTAAATATTGTCCGATAGAAGCAGGCAACAGCTCCGTTTACATATATGCTATGCAATATGCATATTGCGGAAGGGGCGGCCTCGAAAGATACGTATTCATACCTCAATCCTCATAAGTTAGTAACATATTTCTGTCATGGTCAATTCGCGTAGAAATTGAACACCGGGTGATTACCGAGCTATTGTTCTATCAACATTTTCCGATTCAAACTCGCTCAGGGTTATCGTGTAGGTAAAGGGGGGCCCGTTCAGCAGAATGCGTATAAAATTTGGAAAGATTCTGAAAAATGGGTGGGGGCCCGCACACTAGGGGGCCCGCTTTGGAGGCGATGACCCCCCCGAAACGAAATCCTGGCTGCGCCACTGAGACGTTCCCATGAGTTTTGAAGGTATGGATAAGTTCTAAAAATCCGGTTCTCCTTATCTGGGCCATTAACTCCATACGGTCCAGGAAAGCTGGCACACTACCTTTAAATAGTGCCTCCAATATATCTCGAATGTGCTAAATGGCTTTTAAGATTCGTAATTGATTAGACTTCCCACTAGTTTCAAATGTTCGATACGTTTAAATTACCTTTGCAAAAAGGCTAGCCTAGCAAAATATTTTAACCATGATGATATTTTTACCATAACAAAATATTTTACCAGCCAGACCGAAGCCACCCTCCCCTTAATGTAGCTATAGGCTAAAAGACAAAGTTCCCCGACCCAAACATTTTTGAGGGGCATAGGCCCACATTTTCGCAACAGCACCAAGATCCGCTCAAAAAGCGGCCTTTTAGGTACGTTTCCTTTTATACCCCGAATTCCGTTACCTTTCTATTTCAGAATGTCAGATCATCTACAAAGATATCTCTTTTTACGGCTACCGGAGAATTGATATCATTATTTTTGGCACATTGCATTATATGTATAACCAGCCGTGTCTACACGTGATCTGGAATTGGAAAGCACATTTTGCAGCTCTCACATAAAAATATAATTGCAGCTCTCACAGCAAAATATCCCTGCTAGACTATACCTACAGATTACAGACTTCCACGGGCTTACGGCTTTTCGAGCACATTTGCATTTGCCATCACATAATTTGTGTTAGAAAGTTCTAACTGATACTGGCAGGCTTAGTAATGACCTTCCCAAAGTTTTCTTGCCAGAAATAGCCTCAGTTGACGGTTGCCAGAACATGAGAGCCGGAAATAATCTGCTCAACAACGCCGACTATTTAAAAACGCCCACAGTCCATTGCACAGTTCTGTGCGAGTTGACGACAGTACACGTCCCAATTTAGTCGCGTTGCTTAGGCACTACTGGAGAGCCTGCTGATGTTTGTGCCGCCGTGTTTCAGATGCCAGCCTGCTAACGTCTGTACCGCCGTGTTTCAGACGTTAGCCTACTGACGTCCGTGCCGCTGTGTTTCAGACGCCAGCCTGCTGACGTCTGTGCCACCGTGTTTCAGACGTCAGGGCGATACGCTGCAGCTGGAGGTGTACCGGCCACCGGACGGCGTGCCGCCCAGCATGATGGACGTGCTGCGGTGGACCTGACCTCGCCCCGACCTGGTGACCTCTGAGACTGGCCTCCGCTGGCCGGGACTGCTCCGAGACTCTGCCCGCTGGCCGGACGACTGCCCAGCGACTCTCGCTCCTGGACGGGACTGCTCAGAGGCTCTTCCCTGCTGGACGGAGCCGGCGCACTCTGATCCAGACATCAATAGACGCCTACGTCTGCTGAACCCGTCTCCAGACAATCCAACGCACGAGAGTCTGTGGAGGTGGATTGCACTCCACCAATGGGACTAATCAGCCCATTTACTCAGGAGCCTGCCGCATAGCGCTTACTGCCACTTGTCTAATCGTTTGAGGTCAACCCGACCGTTTGCCGTTGCTGCCCAACTGTGCTGAACGTTTGAAAGGCGAGTGCGGCGTAACGTTACTATGTCGCATAATGCGTATTGACATGCGTTACGTATAAACATCCGCTTTTTCAAAATCTACAACATATGTGTTCCCAACGATTGTGTTCTTCTGAGCCCTATTTTTTGTAGATATATTTCCTTCTGTACATATGTTAATTGTTAAGATGCCTGCTAGTGACTGGCGGAAATGCTCAACGTATAGGTGAACTTTGTTGTGTTGTAACCGCTGGATCGTGTGTAGCTACAACGTCATGTTTGCATGTTTGCAGCAAACCGAGGTACAACCATACCTACTCCCACTCTGTGTGAGTTTACATGTCTTGTGTGCTAAGACAATGCTGTCCGATGATCGAGACGCCGCGAACATTTACCGTCAAATCTCTATGTTGTCTCATGGAGAGTCAGTCATCACACGCAATGTATCGTATTTCCATCCCGTGAAACCTATTGACATTTCGCAATGTAAGGAATGTGCGTGGCTTTCTCGCTGACTGGCCTACTCAGCAATCCTTTCCCACCAATAGGGCCTCACAATCTGTGTCTCACGGTCTTTTTGGACGATAGCGGCGTTGTCTCGGTGGTTGCTGAACCGTCTTAGCGGGACGCGACGTTCCGTGTGGCTGTGCCCGCGGCGGTATAATGGGTTCGAAGCGTCCTGCGTGACCCCCATCACCACGACACGCCAGGCCGACCCCATCGGAAATAATCCATCACTTGCCCGACGCCTGTGTCGAGCCTGTCGCCTATCGGTTGCCATTGAACGCTCGCTATTGTCCTGTCATCTAGCGGCAAGTAACGTAACTATGTAGCGCACAATTGTGATGGCTGGGGCTCGGTAATTGTATTCGGTCCTCCTTGATTTGGTAAGCAGCCTGCAATGTGAGATTCTCATGCCTTGTTGTGCTCTAAAGTCAGTCATAGGTGCCGTTTTCTGACTGTCAGACACGACGACAGTGTATAGGGTTTAGGGTCGGCCCAGGCAGGAGGCTGTCAGACCGGGCTCTTGGGGCCTTCGTGGTACAGTCGATTCGGCCCAGCATATGCCACAGCTGGTCGTGTAAGTGCTCGTCAGAGTCACACCAAATCGCCACAGCTCGGCTTTTTATTCAGTCCGAGCGTCGCCATCCGACATAATGTGCTCTGACCATCTCTGAAGTGAGATGTTCGCGTTTATTTCCAGCATAAACGTCGCCCAAGTTGGTGTTGATCAACACGTCAGACATATCGCCGCCGGCGGTGGCCGACGCGACTGTTGATAGCCGGCGGCGACGGACGGGCCAGTTGATATGCCGTGCCGATTCGGCGCGCCGGTTCTAGTCATTCTGCGCCGCGAGTGCCGCCGGCGCCGCCCGCGGCGGGGGGGACGATGTCGCTCAGTGTTGTGCTAATGATGTCAATACAAACAGCCGTGAATGGAGACCGGTGCTGTTTTTGCAGTCGGTGGACGGTGTTTACGTGTGCTGAATGCTCAACATAAACGACAAATGCCAATGCCGTATAGAGAAGTATATAGGGAGAGAGATGAGAGAAAGGGTCAGAGAGAGAAAGCGAGGGAGGGGAGGAGGGAAGGAGGGAGAGGGAGAGAGGAGAGAAAGAGGGCCCAGGAACGTGATTGAATGTGCTGCAATGCGATGTTATTCACAAGATACTTTTCGGGACCGGTAGGCGGTAGCTCGGGATAGAACAGCGGATAACGAATGAATGATACCTATTGTATGGAACACCCAACCCACTGAACTGAATCCGAACTTCGTCACACGCAGGATGAGTGTTACGCTCAGCTCAGCCAATGATAAGCAAGGCATGACACATGGACCTCAGCCAGTGTTACTCGTGCGCATATTCCTGGAAACTTTATCAATGGCGTATCAGCGCCGACACAATTGATAAGCCAGCAGGCAGCCCTACAGCCACGTTCTATGAGCACTGAACAGCCCTGACAGGGGTCGAACGGCCTATTGAGAGAATGAAACAAAGACCGAAGCAAACAAGGCTCCATGTTTCCAGGAAGCGGAACAGCGGTACGCTCTGTGGTTCACAGACCTCGGACGTCGACGTGACTCCTCAGCAGCTGTGATCCGGATGTAAGCACAGACGGTAAAGGTAGGCAAAAAGGTCAAAGGGTCTATGGTTAAAGGCATATTGTGTGGGGACTGCTGCAACCTCAAACTGCGGAGTTTAACTTGTAAAAGTATGTATTTGATTTTAAATCAGCATACCTCACAAAAGACTCAAGTTTGTAAGTAAACACTGGATAAAAAAGAGCTGAAGCTTTTATGAGAAAACCGCCCCGTCATTTGTAACTTCCTGAAATTCAATTCAAGATGGATTGTGTTAGAACGTTAATAAGCCGCCGGACTCCCCCTGCCAACAGCAGTCTGCAGGCACCATATTTACACCGCCCGAACATCAACAGCGTTTCATCAGTGCAGTGCGGCGTGAGGGCAACATCCGTAATGGCGGCGCCTTCCCAGTAGCGCGGTACGTACCAGCCCGGCAGTACTCAGATTGATGGGCGCGTGGCTCAGGCCGCGCGCGATTCGTAATCTGTCACGCAGCATGCTCCTGCCACGGCTACGGGCGTCGCTGAACGATGCAACAGGCCGCATCGGGAGTTATTGGCACGCGTGTCGCCTCATATCTTACCTGGCAGTGCCGTTTGGAGAAGACCACCAGCGTCTTTTAGTCGGAACTTTACACCCGAAAAGACACAAAAGTAAATATGATACATAACATCCGTCTTCACGACGCTTATTTATTGGTCGATACCAGGAAGCCAAATAGAGACGGACGTAATAAACTTTTCAGCTCACTGAAATGTGGCAATCGACCTTGAGCGGACTGGGAGACGGTCGGTATTGCAGATATTAGCACCGTAGCCGTCACAGACCGCTGGGAATTAATACAGCCGAGCGCGGGAATGTGAGATGGCATGCGGACCTGGGAGAGCCATACTTGGACTAAGCATTACGGAGCTGATTCCAGTACGGGAAATGGGACCAAAGGTTTCCTTCAAATATCCAATCAGTGGTCAATCACCCTGCAAATGGCAGGTTCGACAATCGATAGCACCAGCGCCTACTACTGATCGACGATCCTGGTGTCCGTCTGTTCTGATATGTCGGCTTGACCTTTAGCGACACGCCGCTACCGGCATATTGACACAGCGGTGAGGTAATATTTAACCTCTACTCGAGTGACCTATCGGCTGAAAAAGTGATTCAGTATGATCCAGTGGTGGGAGGTAGCAACGCACTAATTTAAATAGATCTACTTTGTGAACACGAGTGATGACAGGTAAAAAATGCCAAAAATATCTTTAGTATTCCAATTAACTATCAACATTTACCCAATTACGCGCATGCTAGACAACCATAATTGTGCCACGATTCAGTCTCTCGGCAACAGTAATTTGCCCTTCCTTCTCATTCCGTTCGTGTTCCAGCTACTCTAGCTCTTTTCCCGCGAGTCTAGGTCTCATACTGTACAAACTTCGAGACATTTCAACAAGACGTACATAATAGCTGCCTATTTATTCCGTGACAAACACTCAAAATGTGCGTAACGACTGCACTGTGCTGTGGCTCCGGCCGGCGGCCGCACTCAACAAAACGGAGGTGACAATGGAGGAAAACAGCCCTCGGGCACCCGGCGACCCTGGGCCGCATCATATGGCAGCTCACGATGACACCAGAGGGTCATCTATGACGTCACAGGCCGGAGAGTCATCTGATGACACCCGTCTGTCACACTGGCCTGGGCGACTCGGCGCTCTCTCCGCTCTCTCCGCTCTCTCTCGGAGGGCATGCAGGACAGGAGCGGACTCACCGCGCTCAGATCAACACTTGGTCACCTGGTAGAACACCCAGGTCTCCATGAAGGAGGGCACGTAGGCGCTGGAGCTGGTGCGACTCGTCTTGGCCGGCAGCTCGTCCACGAGCCTCTCGAACTCCTCCAGCGCCTCTGGACAGTTGACGCCCATCACCTGGAGCACACAGAAGGAGGGTGTCAAAGGCGAGCGTGGGGGTCACAGACATTCCGGACAGTCGACGATCATCACCTGAGGACACACAGATAGGGGAGGAGGAGGGGTCACAGACACTGCGAGGTAGTTTACGCCCATCAGGGCAGCTTACGCCCATCAACTGCGGACGCAGACGGGGGGGGGGGTTAGAGATACGACGGCGCACAGGCGGGAGGAGGGGGACACAGACACTCCGGACAGTCGACGTCAATCACCTGTGGTCGCAGATGGGATGAGGGGTCATATACAGGAGGAGACACAGCAGCGGGCGAAGGGGTTTTATAACGGACAGCCGTGGTCACGCAGACGGACGGAGAGACCATCACGAGACAGGGGACCAAGACAATGTTGACCAGACAATGGACAGCGGAGAATGAGATTAACAGCTCACCGGAGCACACATATTGCTCCTGTATCACTGTTACCTGGAACCCCGAAAATGACAACAAATGATCACGATGATCATGAATTGTTGCTCTAGTCGTACTACCATGCCTTACGAAGATACAAAAGGAAAAACGAAAGTAAGATGGTTGACAAAGTAACCTAAATCACTTGCAAGTGCTGATGATCACGTTACAAAATCAGGCCAGCGATGGTGTAAAAGAAAGTAACCGAAGCAACTGTGCTCTTGCATATCGACGGCTTGCCGGGAGCTATGCTGTGAAGAAATGCATGCGCATTCATCGCTCACTCAAAAGACCAACAGAAAAAGGTACTCCGATCTAATCAATGTTGTCCTAAGCACTTACTGCAAATTTTCTGTACGTAGTCATCCAGCAAAGCGACCTAGCCCAGTGAATTGGAGACCCCTAATTAAACGGCCACGTCCCGTCACGTTTAACACGGCCACGTACGAAGGTCACCGACAGGTCCATCTCAATCCATTCAGACGGCCGGCAATTCAGAGCCAATTTCGGCGCGCTCCATCCCGCGCTGCTCCGCTCGCCCGGACATTCTGAGAACCTCCCTGTCAGCAGGAGAGCCGCGTGACATCTCACGTCCGCGGAGCCCTCAGCTCAGCAGCCGTCCACAGAAAGGCGTCACACGCCGCTCTGGCCAGCACTTCCGCGCCCCGTCGCCCGCCGCGGCCCGGGACTGCTAATTTGCAGCAGGTCTGAGCCGGGCGGCGGAGCGCCCGGTTCCGGACGTGCTCCGAACAGGTGTTTGCTCGTCAGATCTCCGCGGGGAATCGTGTAGCAAGGCGAGCCGGAACTCCTAGACACGCCCGGCGACAGAGGAGGCCGCCGGGCGACCTGGGACGGAGGTCATTAGCGACACAGTTTAATGACGGAAACTGTGCACAGTTCTTGGTGTAATGGGAATTCGATCGGAGCTAAGCATAGCATAAAAGGAAAATGATGCAAGAATTCAGCACAGTTAAATGATCAGGGCCGGCAAATCTCCCGGCATGAAACGTAATCGGTTAAGGGACACTTGGGTCATCCGCCGTTGACCTCCGAATCCAGCCAGAGACAGCATGAGAGTTTAAAGCCGCAACCAGTTTTAATCACCGAAGCTTCCCCAACACCTCCGTCCTCACACTTCCCTGGCGTCATGATTCAATCCAGCTCGACCCTGGCCTCACTAGCAAACCACGAACCTCTAACCTTGACGAATGACTGAGACGCCACTATGATGCAGCCAGCTTCTGACCTAAACCCGAACCCCTCTCCAGACACGGGAGCGGCCCCGCAGACCGGCGGACGAGCGGGCAATACCCGGTAAATCACGGGCAGCAGCCCTCCAGACGACAGTGGAGGCGATCACGACCACACCAGCGTGAGCGCCCCGGCCGGAGTGGTCGTTCGCCGGCAGCAGGCCCCGGTGCCCGGAAATGGTGGCCGCCGGGGTCCGGGTCCGGACCGGGGTCCGGAAGGACTGTCGGTCGTCTGACCGGCCGAGTCAGAAAGACCTCCAACTGCGCGCCGAAACAAACGAGCGAGAGTATAGAGGCGAATGCAGTGGATGATATAGAGGGAAGTGGAGCGGGTAGGTACCATGACCAAGCGAAAACAATCGACTGTCCATGGCCACAATCGCTTGAAATTATAGTCTATCCATGATTCCTTAACAATAACTTTCTTTCTCGAGCCTTCCTCTTTAAACAGGCAGGCGAAAACAAAGAGATTTTGAAGATGGCAAAATGAAAAAGTAGCAAAGCGCAAATTAAACCAAAATCTCCTACTGATCAGATGCATGCCGTGGTCGCCAATACCTAATACCAGGCTCAAGACTGGGACGTAGGCAGCCGGCGGCCGATCCAGGACAGGGGTGCCGGGGAAGCGCCGTCAGTACGCGGTGCCACAACACGGAGCAGCGCCGGTCTACAGGGAAGAACGGCACGGGCGGGCTCCGCTGCGCGGCGCCGCGGGAGCGGTGAGGCCATGCATGAAAGCGGTTCACCGAGGCATACTGGCAGAGCCACCGTCAGAGGCGGCAACCGCCGCGCAAAAAGTGGAATAAAGCTCGACTGCTGCTGCAAATAACCACGACCAGACGAGGCCGGGCCGGGCCGCGGCCGGTTACGTACGCGGCGCGGCGCCTCCGGTGCGCCGTTATCGTCGCGCCGCTGACGGTAGCTCGGCGACGGCCAGCTCCGGTAGATCTAGCGACACGGGCGGGGCGGCGCGTCACCGGGGCGCCGTGTCGACCCCCGTCGGCGGCGACGGGTGAGTCGGACCGCTCGCGCCGACACACGGAGACCGTGATCGATACATCACCTCCGGCCGCGTCCCAGTCAGGTGCGTCTGTCCGCGAACCGCTCTCAGCGGCTCCGAGCGGCACACACAGACAGCCGGGGAGGCGGGCGTCTAACGACTTACACATAAAAACCCACGCAAAAGGTGGCTGCATGTCGGATTATGCATAAAACCCACAAAAAAGACGGATGTAGGATTACCGATTCATATGAATTGGACACAAAAATCTAAGCCTGAACATCTAAGCCTGGACATCTAAGCCTGAACACGAGCGTTTCACATGCAACAAATGTCACAAAGCTGACGTGGAAAAATATCCTGCCAACAAAATAACAATATGCGTACCTATATGACAGACAATGGTGAAAACGAGCAGTTGATTGCATCAATGCGTCAAGTTTACTCAGTACAGTGCACACGATACATGCACTTTGGACATGTAGGTACACTGGTACACTGCTTATGCAGCAGAAAAACGGTTCATTAAATTTATCAGAAAACGTCATTCTGTAGAGATGAGTCACCCACAGAAGCTCGGGTCTATTAAGTATTACTCTCTGTTTCACCACGCTTCGCATGTGATCAATAAGTGTCACACGAAATGTGATGAATAAAGTCGCCTGTTTTGCAGCGGGGCAGGTAACCAGTAACTCCTTACCACCACATGAACAAAATATTTCAAATAAAACGTGCTTTCAACAGCAAAAAAAAAAGAAACTCAACAATAGCACCACTCCGAAGAACAGCACAGACTGGAAAGAACTGTTGCGTGTTACAAGCGGCACGGTACGCCAGAACATAATGGAACTGAGCTGAAAGGTTCTCAACGACCGGGCACCTTTCCATCGACAAACAAAAAAGCCCGGTCTGACTCAGGCCGCCCCCTCGTCACGCGCCCCCGACTCCAGGCCGGTGCACAGTGCGGAGTCCGACCCTCTCGGAAGGGCCGGTAGTCAGCGGGCTCCGACAGCTCGCAGCTCCGCCGGGAGCGCTTCCATTGAACCGCCGGCGGCTCGCAGAGCTGTGCCAGCTCACGGGCTGCGCCGCCGCCGACAGAGCGCTCCTCCCCGGGCACCGCCGCGACGTCTTATCCACCTCTCAGAACGGGGCGGACGATGAAAATGGACGCAGTGCGCGGAATGAATAACTTATACCAGACCGGACACAGGAACGCACACAGAGAAAAAGCCACCGAGAGGAGGCCCTCGGCTGACTTTGATCGGAGACGGATGTAATAATGAGCGCCGTGTTTCTCTGGACTACACATAGCAGTCGTGTGGCTTCAAAAGAAACCACTGTTATCATTGTGGACAACTTAAACTCGACAAAACAAAACGGAACATAAAAAGCGCAGTTGTAAGAGGTCTTTGGAAAGGAGTGGCGAAAATACGTCTACCAAAAAACATGATCTTTTTCTCTTAAAAAAAAAAACGATTCAAAGCCACCGCGCAAAAAAGTTCAGTTTCGCATTTCTCAGCGTTCTACCAGTAAGCCAACCGTACCCGCTCTAACTTATACTCCGGCCCTGCATGCGGACCCGGTTACCGTCCTTTCGCCTTCACACTGACCCACTCAGAGGCCTTTCCCCGGGTCCGGTACCCACTACGCACCCACGCTGAATGCCCCCACACATTGTGGACCCCATTCACCCTTCAGCAGCGTCTCAGGCAGGTCGATACCTCATTGGTTACGCTATGGCCAACGATTACGTGGCCACATGGCTCGTAGCACCATTCGCGGAAGAACGCCGAGTCTTCATTCAACACACCCTGGTCGAACCGCTCGCTGAAGTAGCCTCTTCGTCTGATGGTGCAGCGAGGGTCATTCCGAGGATTCATCCCAGGCTTGCTTCGCGTAAGACAAAATGCAAATTGGTGGCGTGCTCACGGCAATGCAGTGATTCGAGATACAGATCACTTCACGTACCCTAGCATACGAGACTAGCAGCTCAGATTTCCAAAGGCAGTTAATCAGTTGCCATCATATGAAGATACACAATCGGGACGTGTGCTTACATACAGCTCTCATCGTCGACAGTCTCAGATACAACACAAGCGGCCGTCAGAATAACACATATTGACTGATTCATCTCTGTGGAGGCAGCATTCTGAAACTCTCCCGTACCACCTCCCATAACTTCAGGATGAAAAGACCAAATACAATGCGGAAACGTTTGAAAATTGAGAAATCAAAACCTGAGCTCCACAGACACTGACTCTTCCAGGTGCCTAATGTAACGCGGAAGATGTTAACCAATTAGTAGCACAGCTGTCAACCTCATAATACCACCTTTTTAAGTTGTTCATTGAGATGCAGGAAACAACGTCGACCTTATCAGCTTACCGGACAGCTAATGCAGGATCCCTTCCTGCAGATAATTCCAAAAGTCGGCACTCATCACTCGCCTGTGGCGAGTGCGAAGAGCTTTGATCAGGTCGGGACTTCAGTGGTCTCCGCTAATTTGATTTCCGAGCATAAGGGAAGCGTTCCGGTTCGAACAGCCTCGTCGGGTGCAGTGAAGCGGATTTGCGCCAGACATCCACCCACCAGAGGAGAGGAGAGGAGAGGAGAGGAGAGGAGAGGAGAGGAGAGGAGAGGAGAGGAGAGGAGAGGAGAGGAGAGGAGAGGAGAGGAGAGGAGAGGAGAGGAGAGGAGAGGAGAGGAGAGGAGAGGAGAGGAGAGGAGAGGAGAGGAGAGGAGAGGAGAGGAGAGGAGAGGAGAGGAGAGGAGAGGAGAGGAGAGGAGAGGAGAGGAGAGGAGAGAAGAGGAATGGAGCAGTGAGGAGAGGAGTGGAGTGGAGTGGAGTGGAGTGGAGAGGAGAGAAGAAGAGAGGGGAGAGTAACAGAGTTTACAGCAGAGCAGTGCCGGCGGGCGGTCACCACTCCACTCGACTCTTCACCGGTCACTGACGGACCGGGCCGGCTAACCAGGCGTGTTAGTGTGTCTGGCAGCGCGGCCGCCTGCCTCCACTCCAGGTAGCACCGACTGGCGTCACACACCGACGTCACGTCACGGGGACCGTCACGTCGCCGCCCGCCGGCGTCCCAGTGGAGTCACGGCTGGGCGCGGAGACGACAGCAGCCTGGCCAGCCAATATAGGGCGAATTCGGGGCGATTGGCTGCAGGGCTTCTGCGCATCACCAGTTCTGGGAGCGGGAGCACCTCAGCGGGACGAGCGAGTTCTTGGAAGGAGGAATATTACAACGAGAGAATGGCACAATCACTACACTCCATGTTGGATAAGACACAGCCAAAGCAGTAATATTACCGGCGCATCTCAGAAGACAACAAAATGACTTCTCGCAGGCTCAAGATAGATAATAATTGAAAACGTGACCACAGAACGGTCGGTACTTGGTACTACTTGGCTTGGTTGTCCCAAACTTAGTCAAATGGGGCATTGAATAGTAACGAGCTAAAATGCCCTGAAGCCGTGAAACCTGAAAGTGTACCAAACTCCCGGAACAAATCACAACACCTCTGACCCACCAGTTGCCTCTGTGTGACCTGGGAACCAGTGATAACGGATCATCTTTACGCCATCTCTCGGTCAGCCACCACACACACCAGCTGATCGAGCCATCACCGGCGACCGGGCTGGAGCGGTGAGTACTGCGTGTGTTATCCCAGCGGGCACCCACGCCCGCACACACTCACTGACCAAACGGGGCGTGTTGGCCGAGTGGCCGCCCACACAGTCGGCCCGTTAGCTAAACACACAGTCACACGGGCACACACCATTACACGGGGGCGGTCGACCGGTCTCCCATAGCACGCAGATAGGTGGTGGCAGAGGCGGGCGGCTAGGCTGACGATAAATGATGAGCAATAGAGGTGTAAACACAGCGATGCAGCCATTTGGTGACCCTAATATGCATAGACATCATATCTGACCGAACTTCAAAATACAGAAAGGTAGCTAATAGAACAATTAGCTTCCGAACACTGCACGCTTAGAGTCTGGAGACACCCACGCAAAGCCATTAGGTGTCACGAATATAGAAGGAATTGCTTAATTTGTAGATACATTTCACTCAATCACGACTATGTATGGTAATCGTTTTAGTGCTGCTGTTGAAACAGCAACTGAAATGAATTCAAGACATAAAATCGAGAGGATATCGACGGACATCCCATAGGGTAAATTCAATCACAAAACAGCCAACTGTCGCCACAAGTTGAGAAAATGCAATCAGCGTGATGTTAAAACTACGCCCATGCAATAACCAGTCATAAGATGGTGATCTGTAAAGTTGGTTCCAATCTGCACACATCTGCAGCTTGTAAGAGTTTTGGGTTCACAAAGTGCAACAAAACAACGCCGTAAAGAATGGCGAGATCTACAGGGTGTCCGGAAAGTCCTGGCGCTTCTTTTGGACGCCGTGTAACGCGCGCTGTGATTGTTGGACATTCAGCCAATCATCACAGACATGACCCCTCGTTGATTGCTCAGCCAGGGGTCGTGTAAATATGACCTTGAAATCGTTTTCAGTGATGGGTAGATGGGCGAAGATGCGCCTTGTCGCTGAATGCCTGCGCGCGGCGGCCGGGTGCGACTTGAACGAGGCGCGAGTTGCAGCGCGATGCGGCGTTTTTCGATGAATGGTTTAGCAGGTAAAGGTTTATTTCGTCTCGGGAATTCCTTAAAAAATATCCTCAGACCGTTTCGAACGCGATATGGGAACGGAGCAGCATTTCAACGCGGCAATCGAAGAAAGTGCGGGGGTCTGATGGACAAAAATGTCCCATCATCTTCGTCAATGTCGAATAAATGAATAACAGGCTGGCCCACGAGGGGTTCCTGGACAGCCACATCAACCCGAGGGTCAAGACGACATGCCCTAAGGGTCACTTCGCATTTCAACAGCACAGAGCACCCTCCAACAACGCCGCCGCCATTCAAGCTAAACTGACAGAGGAGCTTGCCGGGCCAGATCACCGTGGCGAAATGAGATTAGGCCGCCTTATTCTCCTAACCTGACCCGCTCGACTAAGGCGTGCTACGCGTTTTGTAGAACAGGATCTAGGCCATTTCTCACCCCAACCTGGAGTCGCTGAAGACTCGCATCATGACAGCATGGGAGGACCTGGAAATGCCCCGCATCGTCAAAACCCGCAGACGCTTCCTCCCCTACGTCGAGGCCGTCGTCGGCGCCGACGGTGGTTACATTGAATGAGCACGTAGCGGAAGCATGTGGCTTGGTGTCCCTGGTCATTGTTTTGATCCATTGATTAGTATCTATGAACCAATGGCATTTGTTTTAGAAAATGTTGAAAAGCGCCAGAACTATCCGGACACCCTGTAAAGTCCACACCATCGTCCGTACCCTGTACAAAGACGGACTGGCATCGTCTACTCACGTCAAATCTCGCACAGCACTGAGCTGAACGTACCGATTCAACCCGGACCCGCCCCACCTACGTCACTGCATATATCTGCGCTCCACTCTACGCTCCGCCACCTGTTCGACCGAACCACGCGTAACACGCGATCAGGGATCCAATCTCAGCCCGCTGAAAGGCGGAGCAGAGGCAATCTCACTCCAAGTGCCGCACTGAAATGTTGGTGCGCAACACCTGCTTCAGGTAACTCCCCGCGGCACCGACAGCGTGTGCGCTTCTGCGTCAGAGTGACGGTAATCGAGCCAAATACCTTTTCATGCGTCTCCGGCTCCCTTAGACGTCGTTCAACGGTGCGGACGGATTCCGCACCAGACATCTTATGAGGACAATGGAAATGAAGAGGCTGACGCAACAAACCTTTTAACTTTCTACCTCAGGGTAGAGGTAGCCTCCCAATGGAACTGACAACTACCTGACCTGGCGAGAAAAGAACCCATTACCCTTCGTAAGACGCATCAAAAGCAAAAATCGAACACACAAGCTGAAATGTGATACTGCTATCACACAGCCCCGATTTCAGAGCAGAGATGTGGATTTCCTGATTCGTCAGTGAACAATCCGCCGATAAATCTGCGCCCTGAGAAGTCGAACAGCGTGCAGGAGACAACAGTTTTTTTGTTGTTGTTGATATTAAGACGTGATGATTTGTCTATGTAATTTTAGCCTCGTCCGAGGTCCTCAGCTAAACAGATGGTCCAGATTCAACAGTGATAAATCAAACTTCCATTCCCGATCAGCACTATCCGCTTGTCTTCCAAACCGCCGCGCTCTCCCAGTCCCATCAGTCATCAGTCTATAACTCTCTCGCCTCAATCCCCCATGAGTCCCTAGCCCGCCTCGTTCTCAATCCGCCCCAGTGCCAGCCGCGCCGCCGCCAATCTACTCACGTGGCTCATGTACTTTCCGCCGGCGGGCAGCAGGCTCATGCTGTCCTGCAGCACGTCCTTGACCATGTTCCAGAGGTCGCGGTCGTGCCGCGGAGACACGGGCACGTCGCTCAGGTCGTAGAAGATGTAGTCGAACGTCCGGCCCTCCTGGACGCTGTCCTTGAGGTACTGGAACGCGTCGCCCACGATAATCTGCCGAGAAGTGGGGGAGGTGCGGTGAGAATGACAACAGAGGTAGAGGACAGACAGACGTGCATAGTCATCGATCGATTGGAAACCGATTGATCTGGTGGAGTTTGTGAAAATAACCAGGCTTGTAAGAATGTAAAGTCCAATCCATAAATTAGAGTAGCTGCTGGTGAGCCAACTGTTAATGTTCAGCCCAAAACTTCAAAAGATCCTCTGAATCTGAATCAATACGCTCAGCTTATAATTTGTCATTGCTCCTCGAAAGAATTTGGTTTCCACTAAACAAAAAACACGAATGGCATAGCAGCTATCAGATCAGTCACAAACACAAGCCTGGATTTGTCAGCATTTGTACGCACACTATTCACCATACTCACAGACATAATAACACAATCACTGTTACTGACACCGACTCCACACATATCCGATCAAAGACCCTGCATCGCAGCGCGCTCGCCACTTCAAACACGGTCACACGCGAGAGCAGTCGCTCCCGCCCGGCGCCGTGCAGGAAAACGGTCGCTGCCGCCCGGCGTCGTACCTTGTAGTTGTCGCCGTCGAACTTGTCCAGACAGTCGCCGCAGATGGCCCGCAGGTGCTTCCTACACTCCCTGATCACCACTTCGTCGATCTAGGGAGGAGCGACAGATACGAGCGGTCAGAGCGGGCGTTTGGCCGAGTTAGCCGGCGAGGGACGATCACTAAGGTGCTCCACTTGGAAAAAAAAAGTTTGTCGGATTCGTCGGGCCGGGTCGAGTTTCTTGAATTTCGATCCGGCCCGATGAATTAGGAAAACTTTATTTTTGACCGTGTATATGGACCACCCTAACAATCACTGATAGCCAGCGAGAGATGACTTTTGGCATTTAGTGAGGGAGTTCCCTGAGATCCACTGAGGGAGTTTCCTGATACCCGATGAACGATCTGTTACATCTAGCGAGATGATTCTCTTATATTTAGAGAGACAGTATCTCACACTCACAGACACTCCCCCACAGTAAGACCATCTTTCAAAGAAGGGAAGCTCTTTGATATTCAGGGATTTCCCTAATGTTCGGGGCGAGTCCAGAACATACTGGGCTGAGAAATAATTCTTCGTGCCGGACAGAAAATGTGCATTATCTGCCGACAGCAGTTAATGCGATTTTAGGTCAGAGCGCACGATATATTTCTTGTTGACGTTCAGCATCAGCCATTATATAAAAAGACACCACAAAGGTCAGTTAATGCGTTTGTTCATCCCCGGCTGTCCCTCGGGTAGATTGTTGGATCACGGCCGCAAACAGCCCACAGATCAGCGGCTCGAGAAACCGCCGCTAATGCGTCTGTCAGCAGTCATCGGGGGGGGGGGGGATGGGGGAAACATGGCGCATAGACGGCGGGGTGGCCTTTGACGGACACCCGTAGCACGGACAAGACAACGCGCTGGAACGTAAAAAGGGTTGCATTGGTACGAATTAGAACCGAAATTAATATCAATGCTTACCTGTTTTTAGAACTTTAAGTCTGATCATTTAACACCCGAAACTAAGCGCACGTCTTTCGCTCGTCTGGTTGCAACAAAGAGCGCACATATAACTGACGACCATCCACCAGCGCTGGCTGAACCTCTCTTTCCGTCACGCTCCAGTGTAAAGGTGGAAGACGTTCCAAATGACCATCCGGCTTTAAGCAACAGTACTGTCATACGGCGACCTATCCCCTGCCGGACAATTTAAACAGCACTTTGGCCCACATGGAGCCCGACACTACGCGGACCAGGCGGCACGGTAGCGCCATCTGCTCCGAGCGTGCCCGCGGACAACGGTCGTGGGCCGTACACACCGCCTTTTATCGGTCTGTGTCCGTGTATTTACACTACAACCTCGCTGTACGATGGATCAGAATCCTTAAACACTCAACTCTTATGTTCCACCTTGGCTGCTTGTGATAGTAGAGTGACCATGATTTTTTTTTCGACAGACACCATCAAATAGCTAGTGAATACGAGCCATCGCATGAACACCATCAAACTTCAGTTTTGATCTACGACTGATCCTAGACGCCCTCCCACTTGGTCAATACTACGCCGTTACAGTAAGAGGACAAATTGACCCGTCGATACCACGAGAGCAGCTTTGAAAGTTCGTAAACTTCAGAATCCTGGTCCGTGTATGTCCGCATGCTTTGTCAGTATCCGTCTGCATTTCAACGTATCTTAGTAGGTACCAACTGAATATTCCATATCTTAGTTATCAACTCACTGACCCAGATTAAGTCGTGCCCTCTGGCATAACACACATCCATGTCACAACATTCCCAGGAACTGATTAAACACCCTGACCGCGCAGATCTTTACTAGTTCGCATCCCATTGTCCCAATTTCAGCTGTCGGTAGTGCACTGTCAACACAGCGCCCTGTCTTATCAGCCAAATTGCTATTCCAGCCGACGAAAATGTTGACTCTCCAAAGAAAGCCCCCGGGATCAATGTGAGCCGAGAGAACCTTGGCTGCCCATCGGAGCGTCGTTTTCAGAGCGACATTAGAACGAGCCGGGTTTTCTGAGGCGGGTATCCTCATACAATATGAACCACTCCAGTTGTCTTCGCATTGAGGCATTAAATTAAATCTGCCCGCCTCAGTCACCAGCCGCCTCAGTCACCGTTCAATGTCCTATCCTACCAATATGACATTCATTATTCAGTCCATTGCCCCCTGTTACATCAACATTTGTTCAATACCTACTTCCCCGATATGCCAGCACGCACTCGCCCGTCTACATAGCATCTCCCACACCCAGTCTTTTGGCCATTACCTTGTTCACATAAACCAATACCTCAATCTCGCACACCATGTACTACCCCATCCCTCCACATAATTCTAAACCCTCCTCACGACCAGCGCCCCTCCCGTGTCACTTACCTCGACCATGGTGACGAACTTTGGGTTCTGTTTGAGCAGCTCACAGAGCAGGCCGCCGTCGCCTCCGCCCAGGATCAGCGCCGTCTTGCCCTCGTAGTTTTCTCCGCCCATCAGTGTCTCCGTGTAGATAAAGTCCTTCTCCGACATATCTGTAGGGTGAACGTCCCGTGAGACACCGGCCACCGCCCCGCGAGCAAGTTTTCCAATCCCCGCGGGTGGTTCTGACGTTCGCTGGACAAAGGTTAGGCGCGTGCTAACTTCTCGGTCTTACCCGACGGCGACGGCACAGCGGCACGCGGGGGACGAGCGCTATCTAGAGACCATTTTCTGATATCGCCTGTGTCAGAGGAGTGAGTCAAGTAGGCGGTGGTATTTCGGAGTGAACCCAAACCCAATATCCAGGTCTTCTCGCGGGAGATCGAACGATCTGAGAATCGGCGCGAGTCGGGTCTCTATCAGATCCCGGCCCATACATACCGAAACGAGCACCAATCACGCGAGCACATGCTCGAGGGGGGCGATACGAGTGCCGATTGGAGACCAGAATAACCTCTCCGCGAATAGCGCTGGTGCCAGACCGAAGGGTCATCGAGATATGTCTGGCGACGTGACCGGATGCACGACGGGGTCAAACGCGATGTCACCCGGCACGACCGGGGGTCGCAGGGGACGGGAATAGACCGCGGCGAGGGGTCAACACCGCGGCAGGTGCGGCTGGAGCCACCCTCACTGACAGTGGCGTCCTGTTTTGGGTCAGCAGGTGCTTCAACTACGGGGGTATCGGAGACATTCAATATCCAGCTGCAAAAAGCCGGAGAGGTAGCGAAAATGAAAAAAAAACAACAACAAACAAACAAACAAACAAACAAACAAACAAACAAACAAACACGGTTGTCAGGTACATAACTATAGATGGATATTGGATGCACACAATAATAAAACAGGCTTAATGAAAATAACTTGAACTTAGGTGTATATTTTCAGAACCTCCGTCCTCCATTGCTATTCATTTGTTGAGGTTGCAACATTATCCCCGACCGAAAAGGAAGAAATTGCTTGATGCAGATCATCCTAGCTCAGAAACATTCATAATGCCAGCGCTGTTTTGCCAAAGTTCCGCGTGAGCGCCAAAGTTTCCCTATCAAAGCCGCTATGATCTGGGGATTTCGGCCCGGCTCAAACGAACAAATAAAGTTGTATATCACTGACAGAGAGGCAACATCAATCAATAACTCTGCGTCATTTTCAGGAAAAACAATGTTATGGCGCAAGGGAATACATGCACCGTAATTGAGAAGAATGCCGCAAGGCACGGGGAGATATATCATCAAAGCGCCGAGTCAAAACAATCGTGCCAACAACTAGAATTCCAAACTGAACCTCAATTTCGAGAAAGTTTTCAGTACGCAGCCATATTACAGACTTACCCGGTTTTTGATAAACCAGTCTAGCCAGTGCCTGGACTATTTACGGACGGTGCAGTACTTACTGTGGAATCCGTCCAGGACGAGGATTTTGCCAAAGTCCCGTGTCCGTACCACCTGCACGTGCTGGTAGGGCGTCACCTCGTCAAAGATGGTCTCCAGCACGCCGTACTCCAGCAGCCGCTCGTCTGAGGGGAGGGTCAGCGGGTCAGCGGGCAAAGGGAGTAAAAATACAAAACAACCCAGTAGTCGCTCAGCTGAACAAAGAGAGACAAGTTGTCAGCGGGATTCAATATAAAACTAGTGGGTTAGGGAGCCCAAGACTCAGCACCAAAACGGACACGACACATGCGTGAGTTTTTATAAACAAGGTCGCGCTTATTTTATTATAAACTTTATTACCGAGCCTCGTAGCGAGGCTGCAGCCGTAGTACACAGAACAGCCGCCCGCCCCGTCCCCCGCCTACCCGATGTGTAGAAGTAGGAGTCGATGTCGCGTCCCCTCTTCAGTGGCAGAATGGCCTTGCCGCGGTGGGCGCCGATTTTGGCTCGGATTCGCTTCTCCAGCTCCACCACCGCCTGCGTGAGGCACACTGAGGTCAGAAGGTCGGGTACTGAAGGTCAAGTTGTCAGTGACAGGGCTAGGGCGCTGCCTCCTGGAATGGCCATAGCATGGAACAAATAAGAACAGCTCGCAGAGAACGCAACATCAGATGGCAGCACTGCGAAACATACAATTACTGGATATGCACATAGTACAATGTACGTAACACGTACACTGTACAGCTCCCGCTTGCAAATACAAATGACGAATCAGTTAAAAACGCAAAAAAAAAACGTGTTTTTCCAATTCACCCATGCATATACACTTCATGCCGTTTCATCATGAATTTCTAATCGTTTCTAGGCACAAGACGAGCCATGTTTACCACATTTTGTACACAATCCTGCTACTGCCCCCGTTTTGCCCCTATTGCGTCAGAAGTGCCCACGGAGGCGGAAAAGACCACGACTCAATCACACATACACGTACACAACACGGTTATTCATAAACAATAGCCAAATTCCATGCGAGCCGTATCTCACGAAACATTGGAGGTTCACAACGTCAAATCATACGCAATTTTGAGACACATTGTTATTCGAAGTGCCAACTAAAATACGGTGTGCTTTAAACAAGTGCCATGGTTGGCACAGACCTAAAGCCAAGTCTTAATGACATAGCAGGCATGTAAGCACAGTTTTTGCAAGTGCATTTGCATTCATCCCATATTTTCAAGAAACATGTCAGCATTCACCTTCCAGCTCAGTCCTGTACTATCCCAGTGACCTCTCCCCAGCCGTCTGCAGGGGGCTAGGGAGAGGTCACTGGCCAGGGTCCTGGAAGCCAGGACGAGGCGGGTCATGGCACTGTCGCGCGGCACCCACTGACCCGGTTCTCCATGAGGAAGGTCTCGCCGTAGTTTTCGATCTGCACGGAGACGAGGCCGCTGCGGTGACCCCTGAACGTGACGAACGTCTCGTTCTCGGCCGTGTAGGTCATGTGGAAGCCGCCCGAGGGGAGCAGGTCCTCGATGAGCCGCGTGAGGCCGGGCACCACGGCGCCCACCACCTCCTCCACCTGCTGGTGCAGCGTGGCGCTGGCCACTGACCAGGCCGCAGAACAGGTGCGGGTCAGAGGAGTCAGACATAAACACAGTGTGGTGCTGGCCACTGGCAGATCACAAGGCAGGGAGGGGATCAGTGGGGTCAGACATGCACACGGCGTGGCGCTGGCCACTGGCAGATCACAAGGCAGGGAGGGGATCAGTGGGGTCAGACATTGACACAGTGTGGCGCTGGCCACTGGCAGATCACAAGGCAGGGAGGGGATCAGTGGGGTCAGACATGCACACGGCGTGGCGCTGGCCACTGGCAGATCACAAGGCAGGGAGGGGATCAGTGGGGTCAGACATAAACACAGTGTGGTGCTGGCCACTGGCAGATCACAAGGCAGGGAGGGGATCAGTGGGGTCAGACATGCACACGGCGTGGCGCTGGCCACTGACAGATCATAAGGCAGGGAGGGGATCAGTGGGGTCAGACATTGACACAGTGTGGCGCTGGCCACTGACAGATCACAAGGCAGGGAGGGGATCAGTGGGGTCAGACATTGACACAGCGTGGCGCTGGCCACTGGCAGATCACAAGGCAGGGAGGGGATCAGTGGGGTCAGACATGCACACGGCGTGGCGCTGGCCACTGACAGATCACAACCACAAGGCAGGGAGGGGATCAGTGGGGTCAGACATTGACACAGCGTGGCGCTGGCCACTGGCAGATCACAAGGCAGGGAGGGGATCAGTGGGGTCAGACATGCACACGGCGTGGCGCTGGCCACTGACCGGGGTAAACACGGTCAGTGGGGTGGACAGACATACAGAGTGGCGCTGGCCACTGCCGGGATTGACACGGTCAGGGAGGCGCGGGACAGACAGACATACAGCGTGGCGCTGGCCACTGGGCGGAGCACAGGATGGGATGGGATCAGTGAGATGAGCAGACGTACGAACAGTGCGAGCGGAGAAAAACAGCCGGAGCGGATGAAAGACGAACTTGTATATATTTTGTAACGACCGATTATACAGAATACCACTAGCGAAACAACAAATATATGGCGGCGATATCATCTGGGTATACGCCTAAGATTGTAAAAGCTATCAAATTGCGCAATGATTTCCGTGCGCTACCTTCGGCAGAATGTGAAAATAAGTTTTACAAGCAAGCCTTTCATTGACCGTTTCGATCTCACAATAAGTGAATACTAGAAAGATGACAACAAAGCAATGCAATTCACAGCTAGACGCAAAAGACACGATGCCGCACCATTTCTGAGATCGTCTCCGCCGTTCCCGGCCGTCCTGCACTCACCCGGATTGGTGATGATCTCCGGGGCGACGCTGAAGTCGAGCAGCGTGGTGTTGAAGGACATGGCGGACGAGCTGACGTTGGCGGACAGTTGAGACGTCTCTCCGGCGCGGCGTCAGGCGGGCGACTGGCGGAGCGGGACGGACCGTTACGACACACGTGTTTACCGCGGCCAGAGGTCAAGGCGACACAAGGCGGATCGGATGATACTCATCAGTCATATCGATGCAATTCGAGAGCCGCATGCGTCTCGTTGTTATTGTTGGAGATTATCAGGATAATTATGAGCGATGGCGAAGCCACTCTTTCGTAGATTAACGGATATATAATATGATCTGGCGTTGGCGATGGGAGACAGCACCTCGGTACCTACGTAATATGTAGGTGGGCGTAACATGGTTCGTCCTTCCTCCCATGAACGCACTGACAATCTTCAGCGATAAAGGAACGAGCTCAGTGTATTACAAATGTAATAAACTATGTGAATTCCGACTTCAATTACATCGATTGCTATTTTCCGCTATCCAGAAGGTTGGTTAAAGTAATTCGGCTATCCAGAAGTTTGGTTAGAGCATTCGTCATAGCTTTTGTTGTGGCATAAGAACCAACTATTTTTTCTAGAGTTTATCCAAAAACAATCTGTCCCATGCATTACTGCAGGCCTCCTATCTACTTGGCGGTCTAATCCACCAGTCCCACAATACAATCGGAAGTCTCCCTGTCCAAACTCATGGTCTCTTGTCCCAGCCCTCCAGTTTCTCGTCCCAGCCAGCCAATCACTTGTCCCTGGCTGCCGATCAATCTTTCCAGCCCAACGGACAGCAGGCATTTAGTTAGTTGCTCACTTAAGCCTGGGCCCTGGAGAGTGGAGAGTCACCCAAAAGTAAACAATAACTATTACCTAGCAAACTTTGAAGTAAAGAAATCCACTAAAACAGACTCTTCTTTTGAATGGATTTAGTAGATGACTGGCTTGTGGGTCTATGTGCCAGTCTGTTTCAGAAATGTAACAAGGCACCAAAAAGGCACCAGTTCAAGTTAGGCACCCTATCCAGGGCTGTGGAGTATGAGTCAGAACTCAGAGTCAGTTGGAGTCGACAGTTCAGTTTGGAGTTGGAGTCAGTTGATTTTTGAAATCAGAGTTGGAGTTGGAGTCAGCATTACCAAAAATTCATTGACTCCAGTCCTGCCAGGACTGAAAAGTCACGACTTGAACAGAGTCATTGGTTCTGCCCAGAGTTAAGGTCTGAGTCAGTTATTCTTTATAAGTTCAAGTTGGAGTCAGTCAGAGTCTGAGTCACCATAAATCCATCACCTCTGCCTATTGACCTTTTGACTTTTACCCTTATCGGTAAAACTTCTTCACACCTTCTGACTTGACACAGCTCACAGCTGCTGTAAACTCTCAAATTAATATATCAGTTGGTTCTCCACTCTCCAGTCTCCTGATCTACGAACATGTGTTCGGAAGCTTGACAGAGTCCTATTAGGGATGAACAGGATAACTTAAATGCTGTAAATAAACACAACACAGACACAGAATGCAAATCGAGTTCAGCTCAAACATCATGAACACCGAACAGAAGGTAACAGTAAGAGCAGCGATCGCGATACCTACTCGATAGATCAAGACAGCTAGCCAGTGAAAGGCTGCAGCCTGCAACTTTGTACAGATAAATATGCCAGAAACGTTCTGATAACCTATAATCCTATTACACCGCCCACGTGCACAGCACCTTCCGATTTTGATGGGAATCACTTTGCAACCCGCAACCCACGTTGTAATTGCAATTGTAAACTTCGAGTGTATCGAGTGTATCAAGGTTTCCACTTTTCCCGGTAATTTACTGCTAAGAGTTGTTTCAGAGAAGCAGAATGAAACTAAACAAAAAAAAGCGCTGAACCTTTGGCTTAAACATTGATTTGTCATTTACTACCATTTTGACAACCTACTTAAAAGTTTAAAACTATTTTTGATGAATAAATCACCTATAAAATATCTAAACTGTGGAGAATATGATGAGAGCATTTGTAGCATTTGTTGGAATATTTTGCAGTGAATTTGGATGTTTTGATAATATTCCGTCGCATCTGCGCTTTTTTTGTCGAGATAGTCGAGAACGTCGAGAACGTCGAGAAGTGCTAGATAAATAGGAATAAACGTTTGTAGCTATTTTATCACTGTATATTATACAAAAAATAATCAGGTCCTGTTGCTGTTAAATTACCCATAGAATTAAAACTCTTATGGGATAAAGGCTGTGGGATCGTTTTTGATGGATAGACGAAGGTGAAGGTAAGACGGTATTAGTATATATTAGTATACTTTTACCGGCAAGACTGAGACTGCCCACTAGCCACAATCAATTCTCATTCTGGGGTCCGGACCGCCATACCATCAACTGTTTCACCCCGGGCTGCAAGCTAAAAGCGAGGCCAGCTCATCCATCTGAAAGTTTATATACTGTTTTGAGTGTTTTGTCAAAAAGAATCTTGAGTGAGGCAACACAGAGTTGCCGAAGCTCACCAGCAAGGGTGACAAATCTGGACCAGACCACAACGAGGCTGGAAATCCAGACCAGTACAAGTATGTATTAAGCAAGACCTATAATTTGACCACAGCTTAGAAAGCTTGAAACTTGAAACTTCTTGAAAACTGCAATTATAGATATGCCAAAAAGATGAAAATAATATTTAATATATCCCTCATACCTGCCAAATCCCATTGTGTCTCGCATCATACATAACTTTATGTTATGATGCACTGGTAGAGCAGCTCAACAATCAACTTCAACACAGTGCTTTTATCACGCTTAGGCCCACACTGGCCACTGCTCCATACAGTCTGCACTGTATGGAGTGGTGTGGGCCTAACCACTGTGATTGTGATCAATATTGTAATAGCCAATGTGATATTGTAAATATGCATCAGTCTGCTAATCAGCTGTTTATTGGTAATAATGTTTTGTTTTTTTTTGCTATGTTTCACAGCCTGGAACAGGAGCAAAGCTGTTTTAACATCTGATTATTTCATCCTGCAATTGTAGATGCTAAAAATGAGATAAATACTTTTAATATTTGCCTCTATCGCTCCCTTTCTCTTCCTTGCAGGTTACGCCATGGACCAGGATGACGAACTGCCAGCAGGGGCGGCGGCGGCGGCGGTTCCAGGACCGTCGGCGGGTCCCGGGAGTGTCGGCCTGCCGTCACCCGTGGCCGCGGCAGCGGCCCCCCACCGACCGGTGATGGGGATCCCGCCGGACCTGGACCACGGCGGCGACCACGAGCGGTGCACCATGTTCGAGCCGGCGCTGTACATCCAGCGCTACACCACCGTCTGCCGGCTGCTGGCCGACGTGCAGCGCTTCGGCGTCGTCAGGAAGGTGAGTGCGAGGTCCGTGTTGTCAGCAGGGCAGCTGACAGAGGGATGTTTGTTACGAGTACAGGTGCTGCCCTGGGTCGGTCCTGCTAGCCACCGAATTTGTAGACATGATAATGATCTTGAAATGAATTTACTCGAACTCCATGCCTATTGCCTAGTTTGGTCATGGATATCTTCGTTGAGGGTATCGTTACGTAGCGTGACGTAATAGGACTTGCGATGAGGTGACGCGGTCCGACACGCCCCGTTGACATCTGACGTTAATACTGATGTCAGGGTATCCTTTTCAGGTGCTGGATATGGGCTGTTCCGAGATGTCATTTCTCCAGTTCCTGAAAAGTATTCCAACACTGAGTGACATATGTCTGCTGGATATATCAGAGGTGAGTTCACCAACGTCGTGATTCTTGAGGCTCCGTCAGGATAATGGCTTCTCAGTTACATACTTTCATTCACTCATTTCATCTTCGGCATTGCCTGTCGATATTCGCCCGACCCCGCAGTCTCCCCGTAACCCGCTAACCCCTCTCCTCAGGAGACGCTGCGCCGCCACCTGCACCGTGCCAGCCCGGGCGCCAGGGACCGTCTGGAGCGGCGGCTGCAGCCGCTGCGCGTGCGCGTCTTCTGCGGAGACGTGACGCGGCCAGACACCCGCCTCCTCGGCTGTGACGCCGTCACCGGCATCGAAGTGTGAGTGGCTTTTTGTGTCTGGTATTGTTCGAATTGCTTATAAATTTCAGTGCGGAGTACCAAAGAAAACGAAAGAACTGATACGAACCGCTGCTAGAGCAGTGTCTACGCGTGTTCAGAGATTACGGCTACGGCTTGCTGACACTTCAACGGTGACCCCAAGCCAGGTCACGAGTCCTTGTCAAAATCACGCCCGGACAGGGACTCGAACCCTGGACCGTTAGGTTAAAAGCCTAACGCTCTACCAACTGAGCTACCCGGGCTTCGAGGGACGGGGGCTCAAAAATTTTCGGCTTGGGACAGAGGACCAGTGCGCCCCTATCTTCTTTTTGGCCACTGCCGAAAAATATTGATCAAGTCCCATGGTGTCACGACATCAGCACTTACTGCAGCTCACCAAAGACCGAATCTTGGGGTCTGTTTAGTACGTCACCGGCCCCGAACCGGTCACCCGAATCTTATCTCTCTTGTCGATTCAGACTGGGGAAGCATTTTAGCAGCTATAGGCAGCACACAGCAGTCTGCAGCTGTTTTTCGAAAATAACCCTCAGGTTGACCTTCGGAAGCCCTACCTGCTGGCATGTTTCGTGTGTTTCGTTCCTCTCAGGATCGAGCACCTGGAGTCGCCGGTGTTGCGCGCGCTGCCGGCTGCCCTGTTCGGGTTCCTGCGGCCCCGTCTGGTGGTCCTGACCACCCCTAACGCTGAGTTCAACGAGCTCTTCCCCGGGTTCACCGGCATGCGTCACTGGGACCACAAATTCGAGTGGACCCGGGCAGAGTTCCAGCAGTGGTGAGTCCAAGGGGGTCCGACACCAGCATCATTATGAAATGCTGTAAGATGCTTACGTTAAAAAATATACGCAGATGTTTGCTAGAGTGAATTAGTTAGGCTATCGAACGTTTTATCGATGACTGATGACCGCCATGTCATTTTTCATTGCGACCGGAAGGTTGGACGCTTATATTTCAGGCTCGCATCACCTAATCCCTCCCATGCCCGCGGCACGCTGTATGCTCTCTGATCTCTCCGTATCCCCGCAGGTGCGCCGGCGTGGTGTCCCAGTACCCCGAGTACGAGGTGACGTTTGACGGCATTGGCCCGCCGCCGGCCGGCTCCGAGCGGCTGGGCTGCTGCTCCCAGATGGCTGTCTTCCACCGCCGGGACGAACCCCCCGCCCCCGCCGCCGGGACCGGGACCGGGACCGGCGAGCAGCAGCCGCACCAGCTGCTGTCCGACCACCAGTTCCCCTTCGAGAGCCGCGAGGACCGCCTGTACAACGACGTGCTGTACCACGCGCGCCAGATCGGGTACGGTCGGATGGAGGCGGCGGCGGGGCCGCGCCGGGAGGAGCTGGTCCCACTGGCCATGATCGCCGACATGCCGTCGGTGTCGGCGGCCGGCGCCTCACTGGACGAGCTGGCGGGTCTGCTGAGCGCGCGCGGTGAGCCGGTGGTGGTGCACGGCGGCCGGCCGCACGTGGTGTACCGGCCGCCGCCAGACGGCAGTGACAGTGAGGACGAACTGGCCGGCGGCGACCTGCGGCCCGCCGAGCCCGCCGTGGGCCGCCAGCCGGCCGCAGGAGCCGACAGCGCCGCCGGCGACGCCAGTTACCACGACGACTGGGACAACGAGCCCAACTGGGAGCAGGAGATCATGGACAGGTGAGAATTGGGGGACTGGGAGTGGTGGGACGGGGCCGGTGGGAGAGCAGTGAGGTGGGTGTGGGTGCTGGGATTGATTTATTGATCGGTTGGGAGGGGGAACGAGTGGGGTGGGTGGCTGTTGCATGTCGTGACAGACGTGCATTGCTTGAAGTAGTGGTAAGTTAGTATGAGGAGCCCGGATAGCTCAGTTGGTAGAGCGTTAGGCTTTTAACCTAACGGTCCAGGGTTCGAGTCCCTGTTCGGGCGAGGTTTTAAGGCTCTTTGCCACATTCCGGGATTCCTGCCGATCGCGGTAGGTCGAAGGTCATGCGCCGTACCGTTAGCCGTCGTCCTTGGGCAGTTCTCGTCGGTTGCACCGGGCTTTGCTAACGCCCCGCCGCGTGTGACTGCAAGAAGTGGATGCGTTCGGGATGCTGGATACGACCATGCGTATAGATACGTCTAGACGGTCGGGTCTCGTTTGCCACTCATTTGTTTCCCTGCTTTTTTGACGTGGCTTGGTCAGTGTCTGTCTTAGTTCATGTGTCTGTCTCTGTCCTGTTAAGCGTGTGATTTATCTCGGCGGCGAAGCAAATATTCAGCATACGCCATCACTCCATATCGCACCTCAGCCATCACTCCATATCGCACTAACCTATCCATATTTAACCCTGCATCCTCTCAAACGCCGAGCCTTTCCACTGCGGCACTCTGTCAGCCCGGTCAACGATAGTGTATTGTATTGTATTGTCTTACACCCGGTCGTGGGACTCTCACTGAATATTTGCCTTACACCCACCTGGGGGAGCGTGTCTTACAGCCGCTCGTGGGACTCTCACGCAGGCTGCGACTGGGACGGCCGCCCCGACCCCGTCCCGGGGTGGTCTGAGCCCTCCGAGACGGACGTCGTCGACCACCCGCCGGCCGCCGGCGCCCCTCAGATACCAGGTAGGCGGCGACTCCGCTGGGTGATGGGTGGGTGTTCTGACCATTGTCAGTCCTCCACCGATGTCCAGGTGGCCCTCCACTGATGACCAGAACGCATTGGATGTGGTGCACTGGTCCTGAGAGCACAAAGTATGGATGCATCTCACGTATTCCAGTTCCTCTCGGATGGATGGTGTCATTTTTCAGCTTGTGATCACCAGCTGTCCGTACCATTTTCTTTCTCATAGCTCATCCGTGTTTCAGGTTCCGTCCGACGTATCCGCGCTGCCCTGCCGGCGTACCGTCTGATGTTGGACCTGCTCCGCGCCTGCTTCCCCGGCTGCTGGGGCGCCCCGCTGGCCGCCGCCCTGCTGCCATCTAT